GAAGGATGACAGGGTATTAGAAATCTTGCACAGAAATTGGTTGCAAAGAATAAACATGAAGTGTATCAATTAGTCTACAAACTTATGGCATTAACTTTAGTTCTTCTCGTGGCTACTGCTACAGTCGAGAGATCATTTTCTGCGATAACTTGTGTCAAAAATCGTCAGCGCAATCGAATCAGAGATCAATGGTTAAATGATAGTTTGATTGCATATATTGAGAAATATGTATTTGACAAGATTGAAAATGATGTAATTATGGAACGTTATCAAAATATGCCAACACGTAGAGAACAGTTGATAAAATATCTTTTTACTTTAATTTTTTCGTCACTTTTTGAAAGTTTGATTGTGTCCCCCCTGTTTAAGAAGTCTGTGTCCGCCCCTGATTCCTGTTATAACATTGGGGACTAATATGCTTTCAGATCTAAAAGACTAGAACCAGATTTAAATTGCCAGAATGCTGTAACTTTTTTATGTGTGATTTTGGAGTGTTTAGATGGTTGTGATTGTAACACCCAAGTTTTCATAAACTTTAGAGTGTTATCAAAAATCCACTTTTCTTTACATTAAATATGAAGCGATAAAAATAATAAAAATATGAGTTATCCATGATCTTAAACTAAACATTAAAATTTTATTGTTTAAAATAAATGTACTCAACTACTATTTAAATAAATATATCATAGAACATAAATGAGACTAATTAATCAATTAAAGATAGAAAACCTATAAATTTTGTTTATTCAAATCTTCTTGGCAATCTGCATCACCATCATCTCACAAATTCAATCAATCCGAACTAACCTGTAAAATTTTTGTAAGAGTGGATATTTAAAAATATCAAGTAAGTTATGTGCAGTTTTTATACACAATCATATAATAATAAAATAGACATTTTATACCATTATTCTCTTATACAATATATCGGTGACAAAGTGAGATATTCATCTTAGATCATCTTAAATTTTCGAATGAGTACATATCTCTTTATAAAGAACTCAAATGTCCATTAACAATTAATGCATATTTATTGACTTTATGGGGTAGTTATAGTGAAAATTTCTCGACTTTATGGGGTATTTATAATGAAAATAAATATTTGCAAATTGAGTTTTAATACAATTAAAATTGAGATAGTGTATAGTAGAAATTGGATAAGGATAAGAATTATGTTTCACTATATGGTTTATGCTGTTATTATGATTATGCTTCTAATCAATCCTAATATGACACATGCAAGGATATAGTTTGATTTTAAAGTAATAGAATTTTCATTGTATTTAAATAAATGGCTTCTAGGTAAACATTAAATCAATCATTACACTTGGCTTCAAAAGGATGGAATAGACGTGTCCTATAAATAAATTGGGAGAATATTGACTAGGCATATGTCAATCCTACACCAATACTATTTTATTTAGTAGTACCGGCCTAACTATATTTGAAGTGTATCTATTTACTAGTTGAATATGCTTGTGTGCCAGAAAATGTATGACGGAGAGAATGATATAATATGTGTTGGAATTATGTGATTTGATGAAAAAATTGATTGTGTTTAAAACAATCCAATGAGAGGTTGACAAGTTGTATTATGTTAAAGATTATATCAACGATTATGTTATGTAACATGATTGTTTCTAGCTATATACATGAAAATTGATTGTATCCCTACAAAGCACATGTGGCTAGTCATTCTAATTCAATCTAATTAAATATTAACAAAGGACAATTTTTTTAAAAAAAAAATTCAATCTCGGGTTTAATTTATTCGAATTAACTTTTTCTCGAGTCTAAAATACATGATTTACTATAATCTATTCAATAAGTTCAATACTGATATACTAAATCTCGCTCTATCAATATCTAATAATTTGGCCCAAATAAAAAGAATTAATATTTATTTCACTTTAATCCCTCAATTTTTTTCAACATTATTAAAATGCATCTAGATCAAAATCCTTATCATTGAATAATCTTATTCTATAAAATTTTGGAATGTTACAGTGATGGTGCTATTTTTTTGTTGAGGTGGGTTCGATAGAGGTGATGGTAATTTTATTGATGCTTTTTATTGTGGTAAGGGTGTGTGGTATCTATGGTGATAATGCTAAAGGGGGCAAATATTGTTTGAGGATAACGGTATCGTGATCAAATCATTGGTAGAATTCTTCAAGTTTAATTTCTTGGTTTCAAGTTTGTGATTTGTTGTTGCATATTTTGGTAAATTTCTTCTCCAATACGGTGGTGTCTCCAACAACAATAATTTTTACCCGTCACAAATCAAATAAAAAACCCATAATCAAATAGAAAACTCAGAGAGAGAGAGAGAGAGAGAACAAAAACTACAAGCAAAGCAAATTTTACCTGGTTGAAGAGATTGAGAAAACCCTAGAATGTGAAAGAGAAGAGGTAGTTTTTTTTTTTTTTTTTTTTGGAGAAATTTCACGATAGATGGGAGATTTCTTTTGAGATTTCCTATTTATACTTTCTATTAAAAAATCTCTAAAACTCTAGTAAGTTATAAATTTCTCAAAAGTCTTTCTCAATTAAATACCACATGATTTGTAGAGACTTCTAAAAGTTTCAATTGAATACCCCGTCACTTTTAGAGACTTTTTAAAAGTCTCTATTAAATACATCTAATTAAACTTTTAGAAAATTTTTAAAAATCTCAATTGAATACACCTAAACATTTTAAATCTCCAAAAGTCTTTAAAAATTCCAATTAAATACACCCCTCTTAGTTATAAAAATTGAAATAACGATCAGTTTTTTTCCCTTATGGATTTTTTTCACGTTCTTTTCTTCTGATAAAGTTGATTATCTTAAAATCTACGTCAACAAACTAAGAACATCTTCAATGTTGATGTAAAATTTGATATAAATTGGTATCTTCAAAATTACTTTTGCATCCTCATTTACATTCCGGTGGATCTAAATTCAAATTTTGTTTCAATGAAAAGATCTAAATCCACTTTTTGCCTCTTGTGAATGTAAAAAAAGATGTTTTTTTTTTTTGTTCACATTTTCTGTCGAAAAATGCAGTATGCATCTCTTCATTAGAGAGGTTTTTAGCCACATTGGAGATGTACGTCTCTATTTTACATCACTCAAGCCTAATAAAAATTCAGAAAGAACTAGGCACTTTTAGTGGTTGTAGAAATTTTGTAATTACTTTTTTTTTTTTTTGTCAAATTTAGTAAGTAATTTTTTCTCTCTTCGGGGTAGGTGAATCCAAAGAAGCACGTTATATGTTTACCTTTTAAGGTTTTTCTCCATGCATGAAATTGACAGCGAATATACTTTTCCACTTAACATCCATTGTTCTTATAAAATTTTACATTCACTATGTTTCTTTGCCATTTCATGATTTTCATCCATGTTTTGCGTTCACAATGTATGAACTGAGGAAGTGACGATCGTACGTTCTTTTAGAGCATATAAAACAAGCTTGCGCACATTAAGAAAGAAATATTCTCATAGTATAATAAAAAACACGAAAAATATCGATTGTTCCTAAGAAGCTATATTAGCAAAACTATGATTCCTCCTTCAAAAACAAGAAAATGCTAAATTCAGCCAATTCCAGAAGCTGTCAATTCTTTAGTAATACTCGGCGCCAACCATTGCTGTCTTCGTTCTTATAGACCAAACCCTCCATTTTTGTCCCTTTTTCAACTACTCTATAATGCTATGAATCCCTATATAAATACTTCAAAGCCCCTAATTGATTAAGCATTTATTGAATAATTATTCATTGTATAAGTACTTTTACAAGAGTGGTTTCATATTATTTTCAGAATTATCCATGGCCGGAATAACCTTTCCGAGTATTGACGATTGCAAATCAATAGGGCGGGAAAAGGACACAGTTGTAGCAGACATGGATGGAACCTTGCTTGTAGGGAGAAGCTCATTTCCTTATTTTGCCTTGGTTGCTTTTGAGGTTGGAGGGATTCTAAGGCTTCTTCTCTTGCTTTTAGCTTCACCATTAGCCGGTTTGCTTTATTATTTCGTGAGCGAATCAGCAGGAATCCAAGTTCTCATCTTTGCAACATTTGCAGGGATGAGAGTTTCTGATATTGAATCCGTGGCACGTGCTGTTTTGCCTAAATTTTACTCGAGTGATCTTCATCCCGAGTCATGGCGGGTTTTTTCTTCATGTGGGAAACGTTGCGTGCTCACCGCGAATCCTAGGATTATGGTAGAAGCATTCTTGAAAGATTTCTTGGGTGTTGATATGGTTTTAGGGACTGAGATTTCAACATACAAAGGGAGGGCTACTGGATTTGTTAAGCAGCCTGGAGTTTTAGTTGGGAATAATAAAAGCTATGCTCTTAAGAAGGCTTTTGGAGATACAGAACCAGAGATTGGATTGGGTGATAGACATACCGATTTTCCCTTCATGAAGTTGTGCAAGGTATGCTTATTAAACACTAAAAAAAAAACTTTAATTTTGTTTCTTCCCTTGATCTATTTAGAATTAGCTACAATTAATGATGTTTGTTCATCTAAAAGTTTAAGGAGTTGTTTGAGAGTTAATACCCTAAATTGTCGCTGAACTTTGCCAAAAATTCATAGGAGGTCATCAAACTTCAACACTTTCCTAAGTAGTCACTGAACTTTGCAAATAGTTCCTAGGGGGTCACTGAACTTCAAAATTTTCCTAAATAGTCACTGAACTTTGCCAAAACTTCCCAAGAAGTCACCGAACTTTGCAAATTGGGACCCCATACATCAATGGTTCAGTGACTGTCTAGGGAAGTTGTGGCAAAGTTTAGTGACTATTTAGAGAAGTTTGGAAGTTCAGTGACCTCCTAGAAACTATTTGCAAAGTTCAGTGACTACTTGGGGAAGTTTTGAAGTTCGATACCTCCTGAAAATTTTTGGCAAAGTTCACTAACTATTTAAGGTATTAACCCGTTGTTTGACGAGGCTTTTTCATAAAAGTTTTAGCAGATTTTGATAAAACTAGAATGTTGTGAAACCAATAAAATATGAAATTAAAATTAATTGTTAACTTTGACCTCAACTTTCAGTTTTCTTTTTTTTTTTTTGTTAGATTTTTCCAAACAAGTACTAAGTTCTAATAGAATGGCTAAAAATCTTCATTCAAATTTCATCTTCAACACGCTCCTTCACGTGCTTATTGAATTCATTTTCTGATCAAAGATCTAACACATACACATTTTTTATAAATGGTGCAAAACTTGAGCTCAATGATTTTTTTATTTTTTATTTTTGCTCTAACTTCATATTAATCATCATATCTAACAGCTTCAAGTATGAAAGAGATGACACGCTAATTATTTCAATTTTGTCTTTAACCGTGTTGAACTACATCATTTATTTCATTTAAAATTTATTTTCAACCCAACCTCTTATAGGTTAGACACATGGGACAATTTTCATAAATAAATGATAACGATATCAACCGTCCGACTTTAATGATTTATGAGATGTTGATGAGCTTCTAATAATTACATTCTACTATATGAGGGATCATTTTCTCAATTGCGTTACTATATGTAGCCCTTGTTTGACAATCACTTTTTGTGAAAAATGGAGTTTTGAATAGTGATTTTTAAGAAAATGTATGGTTAAAAAATAAGGAAAATTTTTAAATTTACGTGTAGGATATTTTATTGTGTGAATGTTTGACTGAAAATAAGTATGTGGAGAAAATAATTTGAGAAAAATATTTGTCAAACATGGACATAATATACCTTTGTGGTTGTCCTAGAAATTGTGTCTAATAAAATATCGATTGTATTTGACCTCTCATTACAAATTATGTTCAACTCTTATAGGGATGAATTAGCATCATTTATGCTTTGTTCTATTCAATTACTGACCTAAATTTGCTATATAGAGAGAGTAACCAAAGTATGAAATTTACAGGAGGGTTACATTGTCTCACCCAAACCAGAAGTAAAGGCTTTAACAGTTGACAAGCTTCCCAAACCCATCATTTTCCATGACGGCCGCCTCGTACAGAAGCCGACGCCGTTCATGGCTCTCATCATCATTCTCTGGGTTCCGGTTGGCTTTCTCCTCTCTTGCCTCCGTATGGCTGCCGGTGCACTACTCCCAATGCATATGGTATACTACGCTTTCTGGGCACTGGGGGTTCGTGTCATAGTTAAAGGCACACCTCCGCCGCCTGTCAAGAAATCAAGCGGCCAATCAGGTGTTCTCTTCATTTGCTCCCACAGAACCCTCCTTGACCCCATTTTCCTCTCCACCGCCCTCGGTCGCCCCATCGCAGCCGTCACTTACTCCGTCTCTCGTCTTTCCGAGATCATCTCACCAATCAAAACCGTCAGACTTTCTCGGGACCGTGCCACCGATGCATCCATGATCAAGAAACTGCTACAAGAAGGTAATGTTTAAAAACGATTCTCAATGCATGTTATCTCAACAATACATATATATATAACCATTTTAAGCCCTATTTGGTTTAACTTAAAAAGTTGGTAAAAATTTACATTAAATTCAACAATTAATTTTAATAATAAATTTAAGGAGATTCTCAACTTTTATCAATTTTTCAACTACACATTTCAAATTTTTCTTTTTTTTCAAAATCTACTAAAATCTGATAGCGAAACCAAACAAGGGCTAAATACCTTCCAACATTATTTAATTCTCCTTTAAACATGCCATAAAGGAACATTGAGCACTTGGTCAAGTTTACTTTTGGAATCACGCTATGTATACACAACTCACACGCGATAACATCACATTCATCCATTTCAAAAATTATTTTTTAAATAAACGGTTCAAATTTTGACAACACCAAAATTGTCAACAATGATTGTACAAGTAGGTTAATTCTACTTTTAAACTTACTTTTTGTAGGACATCATTTTTAAAGTTAAAGCTATTAGAGGAAAATAAAACGCATTTATTTTAAGTTACATCTTCAACAGGTGACCTAGCCATATGCCCGGAAGGAACCACTTGTCGAGAACCTTTCCTCCTCCGATTTTCCTCATTGTTTGCCGAACTAACCAATGAACTTGTGCCGGTGGCGATGGTGAACCGGATGAGCATGTTTCATGGAACCACTGCTCGAGGGTGGAAAGGGATGGACCCATTTTACTTCTTCATGAACCCTAGCCCCGCATACGAAGTGACATTTTTGAACAAGCTTCCACAAGAATTGACGTGCGGTATGGGAAAATCTAGCCATGAAGTCGCAAATTATATTCAGAGGGTTATAGCCGCAACTCTTTCCTACGAGTGCACAAACTTTACGAGGAAAGATAAATATAGAGCTCTTGCTGGAAATGATGGTACTGTTGTGGAGAAACCTCGGATTAAACCAAACAAAGTAATGGGCTGCTAAGGTTTAGTTCATTTACGTTACAATATTGGATAATATTACATGGTACAGTGAGTAATGTCCAATAAAATATTTATGTATCGAAAATACCATTATGACCCTTGGCTTCGGATACAATGATTTCTCTTTTTGTTTTGTGATACGATATATAATCTCAATAAAATGTAAGATTTGCGTGCCTATCAAAGCTCACTTATCCGCCCACACTATCTTTTCATTGTTCGAGTTAACAAAGCTCGACAAAGTTATTTGATTGAAACAAATGTCTAAATTATGACGAGTCAATAATGTTGAAAATGTAATCTCACCTTCTTCGTAATGACCAATATCTACCTACATATTCCGGGGCTAACACATGTTTTACTGAGAATAAGTAAAAAATAACTATGTATTTTCTATATTACCCTTTTGATTCATACTATGTCTAAAATTATTTGTAAATGACATAAATTATATAATTTCCTTCCTTCTTTCTTTTTTAAATTTTTTTTTTAGATAGGAATTTTGCATCTATTTAAAAGAGAAATTTTAGTTTTAAATCAAATTTTGAATGTTAGCCTTATTTTCTATTATTAAGAATGTTAATTGGAACGCGCTTTGTTTCTTGTGAGTTGCGGATCAAAAATATTTTTAATATACTTTTAATCAAGTTTGTAAACTATGTTCCCACCTAAATTAATCTACAATTATTATTATTATTATTATTATAAAAAAGCAATGCTTTTGTATAAATCGAAACATAGGAAATATCGAATACCATTTAATAACAACTTCAAAGTTAACATGAAGCAAAAGGGTAAAATTGAAATTATGTAGTTGTCTTGAGTTTATTGAGTGAATATGGTATAAGAAAACAAACATGAGATAGGTTAACGCTGTCAGAGGATCTAGACAACCTTTATCAAAGGTTAACGCTGACAGACTGTGAAGATACAGAGGTCTTGGTAGAGGGGGATACGTTGGATGAAGCCTCATTGAGGGGGAAGCGATGTCTGTGTGCGCAACTCTTGTCTGCAAAACATTACAACAAAGAAGCTTTATTTAGTGACATGAGAAAAATATGGCGACTGGGTCGACGAGTCTGGTTCCGAGAATTAAATTCGACTATCTTCCTGATCGAATTCGAAGATGCTAATGATAGGAGGAAAGTCCTGCGTGAGGGACCTTGGGCTTTTGACAAATCTCTCTTACTGATGGGCGAGATCGATGGAAAGCAGCCAATTAGTCAGATTCAGCTTAAGCACAGCTCCTTTTGGGTGAGAGCCCATATCCTGCCCTTTTCTGCTCGGCGGAAAAACTTGGATTTCTGATTGGCAGTTCTTTTGTCTATGTTGAAGAAGTGGATGTGGGTGCAAGTGAATTCACGTGGGGGGGGAGTATATGCGGTTGCGGGTCATAGTGGATGTCACAAAGCCACTACTTAGGGGAAAGAAGATCTGTATAGGGGGTGAAGGCACTGTCTGGACACGGTTCTCCTATGAGAGATTGCCTGATTATTGCAATCATTGTGGCAAGATTGGACATTCTTTCAAGGATTGCAACCCCCAAGTTTCGAATTTGGTGGTGGAAGATGATATATCTAAATTTCCCTACGGTCCCTGACTGAGAGCGAATATTCTTGGAGGAAGGAGTTGATCAGGAACAAATTTAGGTAACCAGAGTACAGCTGGTTCCTTTTCGGCACCGGCATTAGTTCGGTCAAGGGCGACTAGCGCAGAACAAACAGTCCGAAATTTCCAAAGCGAAAATTACGGAATTCAGCCGTTACAACATAAGGGGATTATGAAAGTACCAAGCGAGAATCATAGGATGATTCCAGAACCGACTGATCAAAATGAGTTATCTAAGAAAATGATTGAGGTAAATTCAATTATGCCGAATAAAAAGGGTAAACTTTTAATGGGGAATCCTTATATTTGGCTATGATGAATTAAATGGAGTTGGCTGATACGACACCGTTACAGATCCAAGGTGTGGGCCACTGTGATGGTAATGGGCTGGACCTGCTTGAAATTGCCAACTCTGTTCAGAGTGAAAGGAAGGCCCAAGTTGAAATGGGATCCAATGATACGCCAGGGCCAGGCTTATTTCAAAAGACTGGTCCAACCCAAGTCCTAAAGAAACCTGGTGGGGAGGTGACTAGGAAATGGAAATGCCTTCGATCTGTGAGAGTTCAGCCCACAAAAGAGGCTTCGTTAGAGGGTGTTTTGGAAACACCTCTGGCCTATAAACGCAAAGCTACCATCATAATCAGTTCGACAGGAGGTCTTGGAAAGGAGGATGGTACAGTTCTGTAAGGTGATTCTGCGCGGAAAATTCAAAGGAGATCGGCAGGCTGGAGTCCAGCCCTGCCGAAACCAATGAAGCTACTATCTTGGAATGCCCGTGGGCTTGGGAACCCACGTGGCATTCGTGCTCTTCGCAACTTGGTGGCGAAGCAAGGTCCCGAAGTCCTTTTCCTTCAAAAAACGAGGTTAACTGCGAATTAAATGGATAGATGTAGGTGTTCTCTTGGTTTTTCAAATTGTTTTACAGTAAATTGTGTGGGTCGAGGTGGGGGTCTAGCTCTGTTATGGGCTAACTCTGTCAATCTAACTATTCAGAGCTACTCGTGTAACCACATTGACGCTGTGATGAAAGATGTTGGTAGGAATAAAGTGAGCTTCTTTTTGACGGGTGTGTATGGTCATCCTGATGCCTCTTAACGGCACTGTTGCTGGAATTTAATTCGAAATCTGCACCTCTCTCGCTCAGGACCTTTGGGTTCTACTAGGGGGTTTTAATGAAATTTTAAGTAACGAGGAGAAAAAGGGGGTCGACCCAGATAAGAGAGGCATATGGTTGAGTTTAGAAGGATGATGGATGATTGTTTGCTGAGGGACTTAGGATTCCATGGGGATAAATTTACCTGGTATAACTGGAAGAATGGTACTGAACGTGTGCTTGAACGATTTAATAGAGTTCTCGTAAATACTCAGTGGTGTAGCTTCTTTTCACGAGCTGGTGTAATACATGGGTATTCCCCGTACTCTGATCATATCCCATTGTGGTTAGAGTTTGAGGGTATAAACGATAGAAAGAAACGGGGTACTAAACTTTTCAGATTTGAGGCGATGTAGGTGGGAGAGGAAAACTGTAAGAACATTATTGACAGAGTGTGGAATACGGGGGAGAGGGGACCTGCTGTTGAAGAAGTCATGAGTCTGATTTCCAAATGCTGAGAGGAGTTGCAATGTTGGAATGAAACAGATTTTAGGAACGTTCAATCTAAGCTTAATAAGGCACAACTGCATCTTAAGTATATGCAAGATAAGGGACTGATGAGTACAACTCAGATGAAGGAGGTGAGGAAACAGGTCCATACTTAGCTGGAACTTGATGAGCTCATGTGGAGACAAAGATCTAAGGCCCTTTGGTTGAAGGAGGGTGATGGTAATACTCGTTTTTTTCACTCAAAGGCTTCACAGAGACGAACAAGGATCTACATTTCAAGACTCAAAGATGAAAATGGAAATTGGTTGGATGGAGAGGACAGAGACGACCTGATCAAGCAGTACTTTACAGACATGTTATCAGCAAACACACAGAGGGGTTCTATGTCTTTTCTGGAACCCTTAAGGGAGAGAGTGACTGCAGAGATGAATGGACTGCTAACTACAAGATTTACAGAGGAGGAAGTCGAGCTAGCTGTGACGTTCCCCCTTAATGTAATTAATATTTATTATTATTAACAATTTTTTTTTTCCTTCTTCTTTCCTTCTTATCTTTTTTATTCTATTATATTATTATTTTTGAATCATTTTAGGATTTAAAATTTATATTTAGAAATATCAAAATAAAACCAAAATATATCATGAAAAATAAATTAATAATATAAAGAGTTTAAAGCACCG